CAAGCCTGTTTTTATTTTCAACATAATTAAACACATTAGCAGACTAGCTTGGGCAGGACTTGAGGCAGACTGTGGGGCTGGCATCTCTGAATGAAGGGGGGGAAAAGGAAGTGCCAGGGTTGGGCGCAGGGCAGGAAAGGGTGCAAGGGGTGGAGGTGAGGGAGTCGAGCATGCGCACTAACACTTCCACAAATGCCTGTGCCATGCAGAGCTGAAGCCTGGCTTCAGGAGCCAAATCCACAGAAATCTATGGAGCTAGTGTCCCTGTGCCACGGTACACTCAGCTTGGGACCCAGGGGATGGATGGGGAACATTCTGTGACACAGTGACAGATGAGAAGATCTGGCAGTCACCAGAGCTTCTAGCTTTCAGGTCACACTCGAAAACAACCCCTGTTATATTGAAGTCACGCTGCATCCTTTGAAATCCCACCCCCGCCCTCCCGGAAGCTGCGGGAAGTTTCCGGAAGTTCCCAGAGTGAAGGCGCCTCCATGCTCATCCGGATTCTTACGGGGTGCAGCCCTGCTGCTCTCAGGCGGGGGGGACTGTATCATACTATCCTCACAGGATTCTAGGGCAGGAATTAGACCTCTGCTTCTGAAGGATGGATTGTTAAAATGCTAAGGGGCATTTCTCCTCAGAAAATGGAAATAAATTTCCATAAAGTTTTCATCACTTTTCCAGGTCCTTCCCACCTGGGCACCAAGCTGTGTTCTAGTTTTTTAGGCACAGAGCCTCCGTTTAAGTGATGGGACACAGAGAGCTCCCAGGTTGGTAGTCTGTGGAGCCAACATGTCTGGAAGTTCACACTGATTGCCACATCTGGGCAGAACGAATGGCATGCTGCACACCTCCCTTCTGGCCCTGTTTGGCACCGTCTGCACTGCCCAGCAGCAACTGGACACACGTCAGTAGGAGGATGTGGCCAGTATTCCACACATGAGGAATCAGACCTCTGTCCAGAGACGTTTTGCCTCTCCACCAAGGGAGGTGGCTGCAGAATGGGAAAAAACCTTGCAGACTTCCCAAAGGATCTCGAGGAGAGTGCAGCCACTAAAGGGCCTGCAAACCTCAGAGGGCCCAGCACTTTGTTAGATGTGCAGGATGCAAGTCCAAGCACGGGCAGCTCCCTCCTCATGCAAAATTCACAACAGTATCGATCCATCAAGCATGATTCCCCAGTTGGAAGAAGCTTTTAGTGTGTGTGAATGCTGAGGAGGCCGAGCTGGTGCAGAGAGAAAGGCTGAAGATCAAGAAGAGGGTGGGAAAGAGATCCACGAAGAAGCAGGAAGCTGCACACCAGCGAGCAAGCAGAGGGGTGGTCACAACGGTGCTGCTATGGGAGGAAGGGTGAAAGCCAAGGCTATGGCCCTTGGGGCTACAGGTTTGCTGTTGATGGCGAAGGAGTCTAATTCTGTCCTGATTCTGTGTGCAAACAAGAGCTGCTTCGTCCAAGTGTTTACGGGGCTGCAACTGGAGAAGGGACAAAGAGAATGATGGTGAGAGGCCAGGATTCCGAATGGAACAAAGCTGTGTGACAGCTTACATTTGTGTGGGGGCCCCTCCCCCATTTTTCAAAACTTTTCTCTTTAGGGTGCTTAGAGTTGACCAGAGAAGCTGGAAAATATCCCAGGGATGAGACCTTGTGGAGTTCCCAGAGAGGACAGGCCCAGCAGATTCCAGAAACTTCGGACATAAACTGCCCCTCAGCCCCAAGAGTCTCTGGGGACAATGGAGGAGCAGTCTCAGCCGGGCCTGGTGTAATGCCTGCTAGTTAGTAAGGACAGATGCCAGGGGGAGCTGCTGCCTTACACATTCTGTGTGCTCCCTGGAGCATCTCTGCTCAGATTTGCCCTTTCTCTCTGCATGGAAAAGTATAATAGTGTGTGCCCAGTTATTTCAAATGAAAACTGCTTGTATTTAGTGGTAAGGGCTCTTCTTTTCATAACGCTGTGTCTACTACCCCTCACACCACACTTGGTACAGCGGTAACACAACAAAAACTGAATGAAAGAATGAATAAGTGACTTCACAAGAAGGTATCTGTAAAGATGGGGAAATAGTTTGCAAATGACTTTAAAAGTCCGTTGTCACAATTACTACTACCTCTTAACTGCTAGGGATTAAAGGATTAATTTGACATGTGAATCAAAGTCTTTATTTTGGGGGGGAGGGGAACATTACAGCTCTAAAACCGTACATGAAAATTTTACTACCTCACGTATGATCGTGTCTCGTTGTGGTTTTAATTTGTGTTTCTCTTACGGCTGGCAATGTTGAATATCTTTTCATATGTTTCTCTGCCATGTCCATATCCTCTCCTTTATGTCTTTTGCTCATTTTCTAGTTGGATTTTGATTGGTTTTTACTATGGACATTTTGAAGTGGTGGAATAATCCCTCTTTCCAGGCTTCAGCAGGGCCACATGTGGCCCTTTGATTTCTTTGAATGTTTCAGAACAAATGAGATACATGGATGTCAGATGCCTACATATTATGAAATTTCACTTATCGTAGAAATGGTTCACTGTTCACTGCTGTCTTTGTAAGGGCTTTTAAAATATAACCAACAATATATCATCATACTTAATTTAGCAATAATTCCGTATAATCATCTAATATTTCAGATTTACATTCCTCTTTTTTCCTCAAAGATATATTTTAATAGGTGGTTGATCTGAGTCAGAATTCATTTAAGAACAATTGTATTTAGTGTCACTTTCCGGCTTTTTCTTTCTTTCTTTTTTTTTTTTTTTTTTTTTTCAGTTCTGGGGATCAAATCCAGGGTCTTGCATATGCTATGCAAGTATTTTGCAGCTGAGCAACACTCCAGCCCCTTGTCTGCTTTTTTGTTAGGTGTCCCCCCAACACACACACACACACACACACACACACACACACACTGACTTATTTAAGAAAGTGGATCATTTGTGCCCTGGACTAAATTGGATTTGGCTAATTGCTTCCTTGTTGTGTCATTTAACTTGTTTTTCTAATTGTTTCCTCTAAATTGATGGTAAATTCAGCAGCTTTGTTAGATTTGAGTTTAAGTTTTTTGATAAAAATCCTTTATACAGGTATTATGTGTGACTTGGTATCACATCATGAATCCTGTGTTCAGTTGTCCCACTGTCCTACTACTCAGTTTGATCTGTGGGTTCAGGTACTGTCAGCTCTATCCCTATTCTGGCCTTTAAAAATTTATATGAATGTTTCACCTAATCACAACCAGTGTTGCTTAGACTGTTGCCTACATGCAATATTTCATTTGGAATGATGAAACAGTGATTTTTCCAATTTAGTTATTCTGCATTTGTTAGCTGTACTGTCAGGAGCTGTCAGGCTTTTTCATGCTTTTTGTTTTTCATGAGTATAGTTTGATGGGGGTATAGCTCAGTGGTAGAGCATTTGACTGCATGAGTATAGTTTGGGAAGAAAGGGCAGGAAAATCAAAGACTTTGAATCCTTCATTCTACCATCCATCCAATGTTGACATCTTGGTCATTCCTTTTAGATAATTTTTTATACCTCTGTAGTGGATTGATAACTTGTGCTCAACTTGTAACACCCAGCTGAACTGAACCAATGTGATTGGGTGTGGGAGGTCCACCTGAGGACTGTTGCTGGCAGCATAAGAGGCAGACATGGAGAAGAAGGGAAGCTGTTGGGAGCTGTTGCGGCTGTTGGTTTTCCTGGGTCTGCTGTTGGATCTTTTGAAGGACCTTGTCATGCTAGCTTTCCTGATGAATTCAGTTGTTCTCATCTTCAAAGGAGCTCAGGACCTTGGTATTACTAGGAATGGCTATGGTTCATTTGGGGGGAGGAGTTCTGGTCCTTGATTTGAGCATTGCTTCCTGGCTCCAGAGGGGAAGACAGTGCACTGCTCAGTCTCCCAGAGAAGCTTGTTGTACTGGCTTTCCTGATAACAGCTCAGCTGTTCTCATCATCAGAGGAGCTTGGGACCTCACTATTGCTGAGGATGGCTGTAATACCTTTCAGGGGAGCTCTAGTTCTTACTTTGAGCATCAATTCCTGGTTTCAGTACAGATCTCTCAGCTTGCTAGCAGAGATCCTTCATCCCGCTGGCACAGACTTTTTGGCTTCCACCACTGACCTTTGGGCCCTGCTAGCACAGATCTGTGAAGCAGGCCTCCATGAAGCATTGTCATGGGCTGTTGGCCTCTGGTTGGACTTGTGGGAGGCACTGTTATGGGCTCTAGGCCTTCAGCTAGACTCATGCAGGAAATTACCATGGGATCCAGGCCCTCAGCTGGATTCTTTGTTCTTTAGTATGTGGACAGATTTCCTGCATTCTTTTTGTATATGACTCTTTGGGTGATTATTATAAAATAATTCTATACGCTGTGTGGCCTGTATTAAATTGTTCCCTCTTGCAAAACCCCAAACTACAACAGCCTCCATTCTTCTTCCATTTTGCCTTTATGGGATCAGACTGCATATGCTGCCTTGTGAGCTGCTTTTTCTCTTCTCAGACATCTCCCAAAGTCTGTAAATACCATTTCAACTCTAATTCTAGGTGACCATGAACAACTTGGGTAGACACAAGACCGGCATCCAGAGGGTTGTGTAAAACTCTGAGTATATCTGTACTTAGAGGGCAGCAGAAGAAGAGGGACCCTCATGAGACTAGAAAGGGGCCAGAAAAATAAGGGAAGGGCATGGGAAAGGCATACCGTGGAAGGGAGGGAGGGAGCAGAGGGGCAAAGGTTCAAGGAAGAAGCCATGCTGGCCCCAGTGCTGCAGACGGAGTTCCGCGTTCTGTGAGCCAAGGGCTGAGAGAACCTGACCCAGCAGAAGGGAAGTTTGTAACTGTATGCTTTCCCATGGCTTCAGTTTCTTCACACTGTGAAACAAGAACAAAGATTCTTATCTGTCTATCAGCTGGACAAAAGCTGGCTTGGAGTGATGGTTTTAGGGTATTAAGCTTGCATTTAGCTGCATTTAAGAGAAATGCAAATATAAAGTCAAACCAAAAGGATTTTACTTTTCTCAGTGAGAAGGAATTTTGGGGCAGATAGTGAAGGACTGTTGCAACTGGACAAGGTAAAGGAAGGAGTCTCACTCCTTTGAACTGCTTATTTCATCATGTTTAGTGTGGAACTGTCCTCCTTGTGGTTGCAGGGTGGTTGCTCTGCTTCCAGCCATCGTGTCCACGCTCCAACCAGAAAGGCAGATAAAGGGCTGCACAGAATTCCCGTATTCCTAGGTGTCCATTTTCATAAGAAGGCCCATTCTGCAGATTGTTGGTATATTGCTGACCAGAACTGGGTGACACAGCTGCTTCCATGTAGAGGACAGTCTGAGGATAGGAGTATTTTCACCTGAGCACATCATTCTTTCTGGTAACGCAGGAAAAAGGGAAGGATATTGGGGAAGCAATCAGCAATGTCTTCCTCAAGGTGAGTGTGTGAGAAAGCTTAGGCCTGCACATTAACAGCATGTAGCCTTCTTCAATTTATTACATTTCTTTGTGAGAGATGAAAATATTAAAGCAATCCATTTGATTCTAATTCTAACAGAAAGTAGAAAATAAATCACACTCAGGACTGGCCCAGCTTTTCTCATAAAGTAGGCCAGTTCCAGGGATCAGCGTCAGCTGAACCTCTGTCTTCTAGCCCTTGCCGCTTTCCTGACAAGTCTCTCTTTCTCTTTTTAATTAAATTTCACCTTGCAAAAATAGTTGGAAAAATCCAAGCTCAGCAAGTAACAGAGAGGCCTGCAGGGCCTTGTGGACTGGGCCACACGGGCCTGTGTGACAGACTCTCCCTCCTGGAGACAGATGTGCCTGAGACCTGTTTAACCTCCAGCCTGGCACGAAGCTGGGCAGCTTCAGCTCTGAGCCAACAGAGGGAGATCTTCCATCGCCAGGAAGACGCAGCCAGTTCTGGGGTCAAAGGAGAAGCCAAACAAGGCTTCTTGAACTTTCCTCATCAGCCACCAAACGAGCTACAGAGGTTCCATTTTCTCTCAGAATCTTGGCCCTTATTGCGCCCAGGCTGTGTCCCAGGATGCTGGTCTGGAAACAGTGGGCTGCTGGGCAGAGGGTCTGTGAGGTGAGGGCCGCTTCTGCCCCTGCTCCCCACATTGCTGGAATAACATCTCTGCTGGCTAAGTGGGAGCGCATGCCAGCAGCCGTTCGTCTAAATGAGCAAGTGCTGTCTGAAACAGGCCTGATGCAGGGGAAGCTGAGGAGAGCTCCAACAGCGTGCCAAGCCCTGGCTGCCAAAAGGGAAGCCGGATTGTTTCCAGAGGACCGTGGGTGCCAGCCAGTGGTCAAAGACCCTGAGTCGTTCCGCAGAATCTTCACTGTGGCTGCTGGCACCTTCTGGCTGAGGAGAAAAGACAGCTCTGGGGAAATTCCTGTCATGATTCGCTTAAGTGGGATAAATGGCTCCTGCACTGAAAGATTCAGGTCTGAGCAAAAGGAGCTTGGAATCTCCTTGGCCTTGATGTCCATGGGAACCATAGACATCGAGATCAGGATACAGGAGATGCAGCCGCCCATCACCCTCAAAGCCGCGGGACCCAGTAAGTGACCTCACCTCTCTCACCTTGGTCTCAGTCTGTAAAGTGACTGTTGGCTCTGGAGAGCCCTGAGGGGCAGCGGCGTTCTTCAGAGTTGCCGCAAACATTTGATTTAAATTTCATCAAAATTTTTTCAACAGTGTATTGTTTAAAAAGAGAAAGAGGCAAGCAAACTCAACTGTACCAATTTTAACTCACTGAAGAATGCCAGTGTGTTCATTCTAATGCCACGTAAACATCTTTTTGCGGGTAAACCTTGGACTAAAGCTGTCCTGCCATCTGTGTAATAGAAAATATTCTGAGGTTGCAAAGAAAGCTATCTTACAGCAACAATAACAAAATTTTTTAAGCCCTATTGCCATGTGCAACTAGTTATCTGAAGAAGAATTGTTCTCAACATTGTGCAAACAGGCGCTACAGAAATACACTGGACACAGAGCCAGAACTCACGGCTCCATGCTAACTTCCCACTGGGGGTTATCAAAACAGCCTATGACACTCACTGGTTAACATACAACTTAGCTTCATTTCAGCTTCAAAATGGATTAATACTAATAAATGCTTCTTTGTCCGATTGTGTGCCATTGCCATGTGGTTATGTAATGAAAGTGTTTGCAAGGCTTTGGGGCAGACTGTAGAGGGGCTATAGCTCCGAGGCTCTGTGGCTGGGCACCTGCTGTCTGTCAGGAAGTCACCGAGACAGGAATGCTACAGGGGAACCACAGCAGTGGCCAAGAAGTTTTCCGGCGGAGGGGACAATTAAAGATTCCTTGCAGCCAAGCATGGTGGCACACACCTGTAATCCCAGAACTCTGACAGGCTGAAGCAGCAGGATCGCAAGGTGGATCCCAGCCTGGGCAATTTAGCAAGAGACTCTCTTAAAATTTAAAAAAAGAAAAAAGAAAGAAAGAAAAAGAGGAGGGATGTGGCTCAGTGGAAAGTCCCTGGGTTCAATCTCCAGTACTGAGGAAAAAAAAAACTCCCATACATGAAGTGCTCAATTGATATTTGTTTATGGGCAGAGCCAACCCATGGAAAAAACTGAGTTTGTTTGTTTTTTTTTCTATTTTGAAAATAAAAGGAGGAAAACATTGACAGCCAACCTTTTACAAAATAGCAAAAGAACAGTACAGACAATACAGAGTTACAAACAAAGTGGTAGGAAATTAACAGTGCTTGTTGTATTACATGTTGATATCTTCAAAGTGGTTTCTCATGAAAACAGAGACATGCAATATTGATCAATCAAGGACTCAATGACAGTTTCTTTCAGCAAAGAAATAGAAGATAGTAGATCAACTATGTTAACTATCCTGGATATATATACATATAAAATATCTCCTTCTTGCCCTTCTCTTTTCCCACATCCCAGTTGCCCTTTACCCTTGAGTACTTTCCTATCATTTCACAATGTCTATCATACCTCCGAGTTTAAATTAACTCTTTCAGGTTTTACACTAGTGAGACAATGTGGTGCTTGCACATGCAAGTCTGATTAAACTCGAGGCTTTTATAGGTAAATGGTCACAGCTAGAGACCATACTCATAAGTGAAATAAATCAGAAAGAACTGAGTTTGTTCCAGATTGCTGGGAAGCCAGTGCTCTGTGAAGGGCCAAAAGCAAAGAGGAGAATATGTCATTGGCCTGCAGTGAGCCTCAGACTGGTTGCTGCAAAATGTTCTTGGGCGCAGGGTGCAGTGGAAGAGAAGAACAGATGCTTCTCTTCGAGGGATGCTTCTCAGCTGGTAAAACTCTGCACTCAATCCTTGCTGCTAATCTCAGAAAATGTGCAGTTTGGGATGAAGGGCAGAGTTGCCGGCTGTTCACGGAGAACCCTGTAACCTGGAGCTGGAAGAAGCACAGTGTCACTCATCGCTGCCGCCTCACTCACACAACTATGGCCCGAGCCAGTGCTCCTCATGCTGGGTGACAATCATGCGGTCGGCCTGCGGAAACGCGGCTTCCAGGACCCTCCTCACGGCCATCCTGGTTCCGCACATTTAACACAAGCTGAGAAGATTCATGTCCAGCAAGCTCTCCAGTGGGACTAACTCTGCTGGCCCCAAACATCACTGAGAGGCACTGCCTTAAATATGGATGGGACACATCTTCAGCGCAGTGTAAGGCCTGCAGGAAGAGGGACCCCTTGGTGGGATAAAGGGCCTGGATATCCCCCTTCGTACCCCCGTTCACAAAGGAGCTACCAAGATGGCTCGGATCTGGACCTACGAGAGTGCTGGAGGGGGTCCCAGGAACACAGGGAAATGGGCCCACTGATCAAGCTTCTGCCTGGCTTCCCAACAGGTGTCTACTGGAGAGAGCGACATGAAGAAGAAAAGCAAGTCAGGTTAAGAGCCAGCCCTTCCCGAAGGAGCACAGGAGCTGAAGGGGAAGCAGAAGGATTCTGCAAAGCATTGTCAGGACTGGGGCTGACAGACTGTGCTCATCAGAGTCATGAGGCACTGCCTTAGAAGCTGTGTGGTGCCTTTGATACCACGAACAAATCTTACCCAACAGTTACAAGCAGAGGTAAGTAATTCGCTCAGTCACAGACTGCCCGCTCTGTTTTCCTCACACTTCTCTTATTATTCTCACAATAAACACCTGTCTTTGGCAAAAGAGACACCAGAACGTCCCTTGCCCTATCACTGGTTTAAAGAGTGCCAGAGCTTAACAGACTCTCATATACAGCTGCTCGTGTATGACCCGGGAAGAAGGGCCCAAGACAGATCTTTGCCAGTGCGGTGGTGAGTACAGTGCCGGTACTTTCAATTCTGCTGTTAAAACCCTGTACTGAACCTTGTGAAAGAAACAAACAGATGTTGTATAGTGCAGGGTGCTGTGTGTTGTGACCTCAGTTGGGAAAATCATATGACTCATTCCTATAAACTGATTAAAATATTTTCTTTCTTCCATGACTTAGCCACAAGCATTAATTAAAGCATCAAAGAATATGTATTTGGACCTATAAACCTTTCTAACTAGCCAAAGCAAAAAGAATGACTATTGAGCATTTAAAACTTTAGAAATGCATTCTCCAATCACCGTATCAGAGTTGAACATTTTTCTTTAGTAAAGTTAGACTCCAAAAAGGAAACAAAAACTGACGTACACCAAATTGCTTTTAAGAATTATCCCGTGGCAGCAGTATTTATCTTAACTTGGAAAACCAGTGCAGATAGAATTTGTGCTGAGTAATCCATATTTACATACCATAGAGACATCCTCAGGCTTAAAAAAAAATGCACGAGCTTATTCGTGAGTCGATATTAAAACTAAAAATGCACTCATGGAAACAAATTATGATATGTGGAGGAAAAAGAGCCAGGAGAGACACACACAGGGCGTCACAGGGCATCCCAGGGTGTCACACTCTGTGGGCAAGTTGAACACTGGGGCAACAGGTGCTCACTGGAGTGAGTACTGGATCCTGGTCGTATGAACAGGGGCACGGAAGACTAGGACGGGAGGAGACTTCAGAGCCTTCTGCACACAACCTGCACTTTCTTGCTACTTGAGTATTGTCAACTGGCTGCTGTATTTTTTCCAGTGAACCATTTTTATTGAGCGTCCTGTGTCATGCTGGGCCTAGGGCTATGATGTACAAGGCTGAAAGGAAACTATTTTGGTTGAAAGGATAGACATTTTAATAAAGAATTACAAATGGAAGCTTATAAGATTATAGAAGCACCTGACTCAGATCTGGGGTGTGAAACAAGGTTCTCCAGAAGAAGTGCCATCTAACCCTAGGTCCAAATATGAGTAACAGTTCATTAAACAGGAGGAAGGGGCCAAACAGTCCAGGGAAACTGCATATACAAAGTCCCTAGCACATGAGGCATAGGGCTGTAGGGTAGGAAGAGACGAGATGGGTGCTCCTTTGGAACCGTCGACTGTGTGTCTGTGAGGCCTAAGCCATCCTGTAGGCAGCTGGGCAGGGAATGAGCAGCTCAAGAGGGAAGGCTGGGCTGAGTGCAGATTTGAGGGCACTGGCATATAGACAGTGGGTGTGGATGGAGTCACACAGGGAGAGTAGGCCCCAAGAAGCCCAGAGAAAAAGTCAAAAAGCAGAAAGGGGTTCCTGGGATAAAGGGCTTTAGGGAACCAACTAAGCCAAGGGCAGAAGCTTCCACTGAGCTTTGTCCTAGTATGACCAGTGCCTGGGGAAAGAGCATTCTCCCAGCAGGGGAAAGAGTATGAGAGAGATGGAGTGGGCTGAGCGGAGTACAAGAAGTGTGAGGGGAAAGGCAGCAAGTGTGACTCTTACAGACAGCATGGCTAAGCTGGCCTGGTGCATTGGAGGAGGCCCTCAAGAGAGAGTGGAGGTGGGAAAGGGCTCTGGGGGTGGGGGAGAGAGATGGGGGGAGGGGAGAGGAAGGGGAGGTAAAAAGGATAAAGATGTGATATGGATGTGTACTGATTCTCCACAATGAACGCACTTATTATGGATTGCAAACAAAAAGTAATAAAGAATTTGAGAGAAAGGAGATGCGACAAAGGAACTCATGCGAGGTTGCTGAGGACAGGGTGGGACCCAGTATCCAGCAAGAGGACCAGGCCCCAGAGGGAAGGGTCAGGCAGGATGGCTTCGTGCAGGTGGGGAGGGGGAGTTGGTGCAGTTGGCATTGGGAGATGAGCACATCCTTACGGGGGAGGAAGGCAGAGTGCAGGAGAGGGAGGGCAGGAGGAAGATGCAGGCTCCAGGGGAACGGGGCCCTAGGGTCAAAGTGCTCCCCGTTGCTTTGATCTTGAGCTGCATCCTTCCCACCCCGCTCAACACGCAGCTCCTTTGCTAGTCATCAGTGTGTCCACTTCCCCACCCGGCTGATGAGCTGTTAGAAGGAAGTGATGGGATTAAGCTGGCTCATGCTAAGGTTGGTCCACTCCTTGGTTTATAACTGCATTCATGCGCTTGCCTTTCTGTGGACAAGATCTTGTTTACCCTAATAAAACTCTAATTTAAGAGTTTTCAAATAGAACAGCAGAGTCAATAGTTGTAGGCAGTGGGCCAAGATAACCCTCTGCAGCCCAAGCCCAGGCTATCTTTGGCTTGCAGAGTGATCCAAAGGACCAAAGACCAGAAGGCATGGTGTTCTACAGACCTTCGTGTGCAGAGGAGATGTGCAGCCAGCTACCTGGTGCGGGTGGACACGAAATGCCCACGGCACATCCCCACCTGTTCTCCCAGCTCCAGCTGTCCCAGCCCTGGAAGGGCTCAGAATCTGGAGTTCATGGCTTCTGAAGTAACCAGTGCAGTCAAAACCCACTGTCCAGACCAGCCTGGCCTCCTCCCTAGTGCATGAACTTCCTCTGTGGCATGTTCACATTGTGTAGTTCACATAAAGTGTAAAGAAATGCATCCTTTACAACTGGAATTGACCTTGCACAAGGCATCTGCTGATGGTCATGGTAAATAATCATTCACAGTAGACCAGCACTAAAGAATGCATTGTCACCTGTTACACAGCCTCAGGCACTGGAACTGTTAAAAACATGTACGGCCTAGAAGTCTTTATCTACCTGTCAGCTGTGTGATAAGGTGGGAGTGTGTGAGCACGCTCCTGTGCCCTGGGGCCCAAGGGTGCACGACACACATGGAAACCCTCCCTTTAAACCTGCACCCATTAGCTGACCTGTGCTCAGACTCCCGGGTAAAGACCATTGTGTTTGGAATCAGAAACTGATTTTTTGTTTGTTTGTTTGTTTGTTTTCTGGTACTGGAAATCGAACTCACGACCTTGCACTTACCAGGCAGGCGCTGTGCCGCTGAGCTAAATCCCCAGCCCCAGAAACTGATTTTTAAAATATATTACTGATACTGGTTAAAGAAAAGCATAGTCATCATAGAGAGTTTGGAAAACAAAAAGGTCCCAACACAAAATAACCTTAATGCCCGGAGGTAATCACTGAACTCTACTTAATCCATTTTGTTTTAGCTGTGTACCTCTGTCTGTCTGTCTCTGTCTGTGTCTATATCTGTCTCACTCTCTGTCTCTGTCTAACTCTCTGTCTCTGTTTCCATATCTCTCTCTCTCTCTCTCTCTCTCTCTCTCTCTCTCTCTCTCTGGGGGTTATATCTCTGTACAATTTGGTATCCTGCCTTTTTCACTGAATAAATCAGGAAATGTAAAAGTAGTAACAGACCCACTTTATTTCCACATTTTTCCCTTTTATTTCTCTCTGTATCTTTCCTTCCTCTCTTGCCAGTATTCCTTTATTTTGGAGCATTTCCATTTTTATCCAAGTCCAATTCAAAACATAAAACAGTTTATGCTTTTTGAGTTTTATTTCCTCCCTACACTTGTTAAAATGGACCAGTAAAAGAAAAGTTTTCCAGATTATGATAGATCCACCTCCAACTATATAACTGTTTCAATTTAGAGTCTTAGGATAATGATCTGCCACCATATGTGGGTTATAACTTGAGGTTTTCATAAAAATGTGTCTTGGATGAATTGTGCCACAGTGCCAAGTAGCTGGCTTGCCTCTAGAAGAGACTTGCCTGACATTTACTTTCTTGAGTCAGGGGAGCGGTCTGATGAAGGCCAATGGACAAGGGATCAGAGGTGTGACTTCAGGTGTGGTCCTCTCCCAATAGAGGTGTGCTCTCCGTCACAGCTTTCCTTCAGTGCAGGCACTATGCCTTCAGAAGCAGTGATCTCATTTAAGCCTACACTTGTCTGGGGAGCTGAGGTCAGCCACAAAGCTATTGGAGAAAAGGAGTCTGCCTTAGGAAGCGGTTTCTTTGCAGGGGGAGGAATGTATCCAAACAACTTGGCTTTTGAGACCTCCTGAGACCAGGAGTTTGGAAAGATGAAACACAGAGCAAACCTCAGACCCGTCTGCCCCCTCGCCCTCCCTATCACTCCGATTTCACAACACAAAAACAGAAGTGCTTTCAATTCAGCTTTCGGAAGCCTAGCACCCGCCCCCCGCCCCCAGATCTGTCTGTTACTGCTTCTGCTTGGATTATTTTCATCTGGGTTGTGTTTTTCTGACCAAAGCCCAGGCCTTTGTCTTTGTGTATTTGTAAAGTGCCATGTCTACTTACCAGTCTTCAGAATTACAGACGATACTAGGAATGCACGAGAACTGGCAGCAGAACCCTCACAGCTTTTCCTGCACTAACGCTCTGCCCTAGCACGAGACTGGACCATTTTTACAAGATAGTATTGAAACATTCTAATCCCAAGAAACTAAACGAATCCTCCATTAGCTGTGTGTAATCCAGCGCACTGCGTTGGCACAGTGACTCTGCCATGCGCCTGGTTTGCTGGATGCCAGGCTAATGAGCTACTGCTGTGTGGTCAGGACAAAAGCAGCCTGTTCCTTCCAGGGAGCCAGCTCACGACAGCTTCATGACAGCCACGGTGGGGGTTAGACTTCACGCCGCCCTCTGTCCTTTTGGTGCCAGCCTCCTGGAGACCCAGAAGTTCCTTGGGCACGATGGTTTTCATCTTGTGACACGGATCTGACTGCTTTCAACTTTCACAGTTTAGGACCCACAGGAAAGAGATCTGAGCATTGGAGACAGCAAGATGTGAATGTCTGGACTGTGCTGAGAGGGACAATGGGGCAGGTAAGGACAGCAAAGGCAGAAATACCTCTCTCCATCCGTCCTTCCTCCCTCTCTCCCTCCCTCCCTTCTTGCATTCCTTTATCCCTTTCTCCCTCCCTTCCTGCGTTCCTTACTTCCTCCTTTCCTCCCTTCCTCCCCTCTTTTCCTTCTGTGTCTCTTTTCTTCCTTCCCGCCCTACTACTAACTTCTCCTCCACCTTCTTTCTTTCTCTCCTTCTCTACTTTCCTTTCTTCCTTCCTTTCAACTGAACTTTGCAGTAAATTGTCTCCTCCTCCTTTGGCTACAACATGACTCCAAAAAGACAGAGATAACTTGAAAATGGCACTTGGGATTCTAATGTTCAATGCTGAGAAGGCTCTTCCCATCGAGGTGTTGTTGGATAGCAGAATATACTTGAAGGCATCTAAACACAGCCTCCCCTCCCCAGAAGACAGCAATGGCACCAGAGCCCTGGGAAAGCAGAGCAGAGTAGCCCGAAGAGGCTCTGCTGACTGGGGCCTCTGAGGGGAGGTTGATGCACCCAGTGGGAAGGACCCCTTCCTCTCATAACTGGACTCACACCGAAAAGGGTTGGAACTTCATCCTGAAGTGAGCTGGCAGCGAATGTCACCAGGCTGCTAGACCAGGCCCAGTCACGGCAGCACAAGGCCAGGAAACTCTTAGTTGAAAGCAGAAATGTACTGGATTTAATGACTCGGGCAGCTGCAGAGGTCCTTGCAACAGAACTCTAAAACTAAACCATCTTGCCTGGGACTCTGTGGGCTTTCTCTGGAAACAACCCTGAAAAATCAGAGGCCGAGCCCAGTCAGAATATAACCTTTTACATCCTAGAGCTCATTCTAATCAAATGCAACCTCACACAGACACAAAGAAAAATCAGGCTTGGAAACTTACATTTTCATCCCAGATTTGCTTCCAAATGTCCATTGTTGAGGAAAAATAGTTAAAAATATATGTTTTACAACAATTCTTACTATTGTAAGAAAATTCTATAATGAGAACATTGTTCGATGTAGTCACATTTTGTTTCTAAAAATAGACAAATAAAATGATTCACAGATGCTGATTTACAAGAAAAATAGTAAAGTATGTAAACTAAGACGTATTTGAGGGAAGGATAGAGGCCCTCATTAGAAACCATTCCATAGAAAGTACTTCCTTCTCCCAGACTGGCCAGAAAACCCCAAGCTCTAACTGGACTCCTGGCACAGAGGTGCGAAGGCACACATGGGCCCTGCTTATGGCAGCCCTGAGGACCAGAGCTGCAGACATGCACTCTGACAGGAGTGCAAGCACTACTAAGGTAGAGCCCCGAGATGTGCATGTTCACCTGCCTTCCAGGCCATTCTGCTGCAGGTGGTATGTGGGCCACACTCACACATCACTGAAGTCATTTTCCCTCTTTCAGAATCCTGCCTGCAGCTGCCAGTTGGGATTTGTCAGACCTGTCTTATGGTTTGGTTAATGCCTGAGAGGGGACATCCTATAATGCCCAAAAGTGTGAGAGCCACAAAAGAAATCATTAGAAATCATGGAGCCCAGGTTTTGAACTGAGATTGTGAGCTATTTCCTTACAATTAACTTAAACATGTATACAAAGGTTAGACTCCCATAAATAGAAGATGAGGTTCTGGAAATGCGACCTTATCTCTGCTATCTTGTATTACTGTCAAGATATACTCCCTCCTCCTGACTCAACCAAACCCTAGGAGTCTGCCCCTGGGAGGTTGAACTTTCTGCCCCATTGAAGTTAGCCATGGCCATGTGACTTGTTTGGCCAATGAAATGAGAGTAGGAACTAGGGATGTTGCTGTGAGCAGAAATTCACATTGGTTCTGCCCTGTGCCTAAAAACAGAGTGTCCCAGACAGGAACTGCTCCTGAAGTCTGGATCTGAGGGGGAAGGATGAATAGTGGTGTGGGAAGGGTGGAGCTACAGCAGCATCCACAGCAGTCAAGGTTGTAGAATAAGTCTGAGCTGCTGAGTGTCTTTGAGACTGCAGAGCTGGCTGGTACTGCAGAGTGGCTTAGCAACCAGCCGTTGTCACAGGTTCTCATTAGTTTTGGCAAAATACTAAGCAAGGCGTGGCTGGGTGAAATGCCTAGGTCCTGGCTCTGTCTGGAACTCTGTTTTATCATCTGAATTTTTTGTGTTCACCACCACTGTGTGCTGCCTTTTAATGGCATATTTAATATGAACTGCAGAAAATTATGAATCATCTTGTAAATACTTAAAGCTCAGAGTTGAAATAGCAAAACATCATCAGCTGTATCTCTTAGAGTCACTTCTTAATAACACAAAACATAGGGCATTTCCTGCACTTACAATATTCTCCACAGAGACCTTCCACCCATCACTGGTTGGCAGGGCCACAGTCTGCGTGCATGATTTTGCAGCTCATTTTCCCAGTTTTCTGTTCTAGCCATGCTATAATCTGTCCTTGCGCTTCTGTGGAGCTATGGTGATGTGGACTGGTATTTATTTACCTCTACTTTGAGGTAGTAGGACAAAACAATTACCCTTGAGACCATTTTTTTAGAGCTCTAACATGGGCTCCATGATATTTCCTGTGCAACATTATCAAAGATCTTTCTGGAAAATAGGGTTTCATTGTTGAACTATTTCATGCTCCCCTCAACCCCAGTGTGCTAAGCCATTGACCATGTATCACTGTCAGAACACACTTCTTTTTGTTTTGTTTTTGTTTTTGTTTTTTCGCCAGTACCAGGAACCGAACTCACGACCTTGCGCTTGCCAGGCAGGCGCTTTGCCGCTGAGCTAAATCCCCAGCCCCCCAGAACACACTTCTGAGTTCAGACTGGTGGGACAGAAAGAGGTGGGTTGTGGCTAGCTCACTGCAGATTTCCCTTAGAAGACATATTGTCTTGGCTCCACCACTGCTGGTAGTGAAAGGATCAGTTCTCTGTCAGTCACGCTTAGACTTCCTGTGTTATCATGGACTAGCATCCTGGAGCTAATTTAAGCACAAAGAAAGAAATGTATTAAAAGATAAAAAAAAAAAACTTAAAAGATAAAGAGGTCTGCAGCTTGGTCTGCTGAAGTCTTGGTAGCAGGAACAGGAAGAACAAGTGAGAGCCAGCCCAAGTTCCCCTCCCCAGAATTCTCTATTTTCCTGTTGCTATAGGTTGGATCTGAAGTGTGTCCTGAAGGCCAGTGTGGTAAAGGATTGATCCCACTGAGTCACTATTGGCAGCACTGGGACTTTAAAAGGTGGAGGTAAGGGGGAGGTTGTTAGGTGATTGGGGTGTGCCCTTAAAGGAGATCATGGGGTGCTAGCCCTTTCCTCTCTTTCTCTTATTGTCCTCTGATAATGAGGTGAGTGGTTTTGCTCCCCCATGAACTGCTGCCACAATGTGCTGCCTTGCCACAAGCCCAATGTAGTGCTCCCAACCAGTCATAGACTAGAGTCTCCGAAACTGTGAGCCAAAGTAAAGCTTTTCTCTTTACCAGTTGATTGTCTCAGGTATTTATTATAGTGATGGAAAGTGAACTAACACACCTGATCCACAGTCTCCCAGCACTAGCAACACTGCCTCAGCTCTACCTCTGATCATCAGCCATGATGGGATGTAGCTGTTCACAGCCCAGGGGCCACATATGATAATTCCAGCTTCAAGCACAGGAGGAATCTCTCCATTACTCTCCATCCCCGTATCATCAATTGACCAAATATTTTTCAGCTATTTAGAATAGCTGGTGCTTGGGATGCAAAAGGCAATGAAAAAGAGCTCTGCGGGGTGAGAAGAGGGCAGAATTATGTTCCATAAACCTTGGGGCTTGGGATCTAGCTCAGCAGCACAGCACCTGCCTGGCAAGCTCAACATTGTGAGTTCGATTCCCGGTACCA